TAACGTCTTTATGCTATTATACAATGATATTTTTATGCTTACTCCTATTATGATGTTTTATGATGTTTAAATTGCTTACTATACTATGACGTTTTTACCAACTTACTGTACTTCATGCTTATTATTCTTTTTTTTTTACATTTTTATGCTTCACTATAATATGATGTTTTTTAACAACAACTTACTATACTATGAAGGGATGTTTTTTATGCCTTACTATACTATGATGATTTTTAATGTTTTTTATGCCTTACTATACTATGATGTTTTTTAACGTTTTTACGACTTATTATTTTATGACATTTTTATGCCTTCATATACTATGATGTTTTTTGACGTTTTTATGCCTTGCTTACTATAACGTTTTATGCTTTATTATACAATGATATTTTTATGCCTTACTCTATTATGATGTTTTATGATGTTTTAATTGCTTACTATACTATGACGTTTTTACAACTTACTGTACTTCATGCCTTATTATTCTGTTTTTTACATTTTTATGCTTCACTATAATATGATGTTTTTTAACAACAACTTACTATACTATGAAGGTTTATGACGTTTTATGCCATACTATAGGACGATAATTTTTTTTCCACGTTTTTGTGCCTTACTATACTCTTCCTTATGACATAATTATGACATATCAAGAGTGATGTTACCATATGTTTCATCTATAAGAGGATATATTATTATCACATATATACATCCTCTGGATAGATAAAGACATAAGTTCATAACATATATATATATATATATATATATATATATATATATAGAGTATATATGTAAATATATATCTGTATATAGTTTTTGATTGAGTGTCACATTGAATATAGTCAGACTGAAGTGAATCTGATGTTTTAAAACATTTTCAGTTTATTAACATTTACATTCCATAAAGATAAAAAAATTAAATTCACATGTGCAAAGACACTTTCTGTGCAAGACAGAGCTCCTCATCACTGATCATCATCACAGGAGATAATTAATAATCAATAAAATACTCAGTACGTGCATTAACCAATAAAAACATACAAACAAGATTCTTTTTTTCTTCACCTGTTTGTTAAACTCGTGTTCATACTCATAATTTTATTTTTTATTTTCCTGATGTTTTAGACAAAGTGATGAAGAAAATCAGATTAATTCCTCGATGCTGCTCTGGCAGCTGCAGGGAGGGGCTTACAGCAGCACTGGTATGTGATTGGCTGCTGAAGTTGACAGTCTTCTTAGCAACCAAAAAGAGACGGAGCTGATGGTTCTCTGTTCGTACAAAACAAAGCAACCCAGAGTTCCTGCAGTTTCTGCAACCTTAGAGTCTCAGGTGAGTCTCAGGTGGTCTCAAGTGTTCAGCAGAGTGACATGCGTTTGCGGTGCTGCTCCACCAGCGGCACCAGGCAGCGCGGTGACCCGGCCTGCAGTAGGAACGGGTGCTCCAGCAGGGTGATGGCGCTGCTTCGCTGCAGCGTGTCACGAGTCAACATGCAGCCCAGGAAGTCCTTCAACACGGGAGACACCTGAGCACAGGAGAGCGTGACATCATCAAACACTGCCAGGCTGATAAGGACCCCACAAACCAATGCTAGCCTGTTAGCATTTTCACAACTATTGATGATTATTGCAATGTTTAGAAAGGATGTGTGTGTGTGTGTGTGTGTGTGTGTGTGTGTGTGTGTGTGTGTGTGTCTGTCTGTCTGTGTGTGTGTGTGTGTGTGTCTGTCTGACCCTCTGGATGTTCTTCACGCTCGGTGCTGCTTCGTCTCTCAGCTTCTTCATGGCGGTGATGGGCGTGTCGCTGAAGTATGGCGGCTCTCCATCCACCATCTCCACCACCATGATCCCCAGAGACCAGACGTCCACCTGAGGGACACAGGAGACAGTCAGACGTCACCTGGATCTGGATTTGGATCTGCATCTGGATGTTCCCTTCTTACCTCGGTACCATATGGTGTTTTGGAGATCACCTCGGGGGCCATCCAGTACGGAGTCCCAACCAGAGACTTCCTCTTCGGGACATCTTTACTGATCTGGGCGCAGAAACCAAAGTCTGACAGTTTCACCTGCAGAAGAAGAAGAAAGGTAAGTCAGGTGTTTTTTACCTGTTAGCGTCCTGAGACCCTCTCACAGTGGAGCTGCGTCTCCTCCACAGGCTGTAAATAAAGATGGCCGTCATCTTTGTGACGTCACCCACATGTTTCTGAAGCTCAAAGTGAGCTGCTCACCGTCGCCATCACGGCAGTGTCTGACATCACCCCTAACTCTCATCTAATCCAAATATGGTCAAAGAGGAGGGGCATGTGTGGAGCTGAGACTGAGGTGAGGTGCATACCGTCACCCACCTGTCACTCAAAGAGGCCCTCAATCCTCCATAACTTTATTCCTTAATAAAATATAAACAGGTGAGTTATATAAACAGGTGAGTTATAAACACAGGTGTCATGAAGGAGGAAATTAGCTCTAGAGACCAAAACAGTTTCTGTACCAGGCTGTAAACATGTTTATTTCTGCTGTAAAGTTGGACATTTTAACATGGGAGTCTATGGGGACTGACTCACTGTTGGAGCCAGACTCTAGTGGTCGTTAGAGGAACTGTAGCTTCAGAGTTTGATACTTGGTCTCCTTCAACAAAGAGACACTTTTTCCTGTTTCATTTCAATAACTGATCAATGATCAATACTTCACACAAATGAAAAGTCTAAAAACTGAATCCAGATCAGTGAACCTGAACTTTGAACTGTGAATTATCAGGTGACCCTTTAGAGGGCGTGACCCCCAGGTTGGGAACCTACTCCACCTGGATAAATATATATGTATATAAAATACTGTAAATATCTCATCCTCTGTTTCTGTGTCAGAGTGTGTGCTCTGTTCCTGTGAGGAGCTCTGAGTGTCTTGTGTCTTCTCCTGATTGGTTGGATGTGCGATAAACAATCATAACCAGACGTTTTCTACACTGTGCTGTTACTACGACGATTGAAACATGTTTGTGATCAGTGTGTGTGTGTGCGTGTGTGCGTGCGTGCGTGCGTGCGTGCGTGCGTGTTACCCTCCCATCCAGAGTCAAGAGGATGGAGTCACTCTTGATGTCTCTGTGGACGACGCCCTGAGCATGAAGGTAGGCCAGCGCCTGCAGGACGCTCTCACACACCGTCGCTATCTGCTCCTCGTTCACCCTGGAACACACACACACACACACACACACACACGGATCACAATCACATCACACCTGAGACAATCCACCTGACCGGCAGGTGTATTGACTTCCTGCTCACCTGGTTTCACTGATGATGTGGGTGAGAGCGCCGCCCTGCAGGTACTCCATGATTACCCAGAGTTCCTCCTCCACCATAGCGCTGCGATACATCTCCACCACGTTCTGGTGCCGGTAGTCCCTCATGATCACCACCTGAGACCAGACGAAGACAGGTGAGCTGATGATGTCACACGGCAGCAGGTAACAGGTGTCTGACAATCACCACGTGACCTCTGTAAGCTTCCAGGTAAAACTATGAGTAAACGTGAAGCTCCGCCCCCCGCACCCCACCTCATTAAAGAGCAGCTCTCTGCGCTGTTGCTTCCTCAGGTCCATCATCTTCACGGCCACCTGTCGTCCGCTGTGTCTCTCCCGGGCGATGCAGACCACACCTGTGGACCCCTCCCCGATCTTCACAAAGTTCTCCAGACTCATCCTCGGGTCTCCGGCGTCCACCACCATCTGCAGCGCCGCCTTGAACTGCTCATGGGTCACAGTCTGAGCACCTCCGTTGGACACTGTCTGCTGGGTGGAGGAGGGGCGGGGCCGAGCGGGGGGGCAGGCCGGGGATCCGGTGGGGGAGGGGCAGGGCTGAATCAGGGGAGTGGGTGTTTTTGGAGTAATGTTAACGCTGGAGTGGGGGCGGAGCAAGCGCTGAGGTAAACCTCTACCTGTGACGAGGGGACTGCTGGTGCTGTTAGGGGGAGGGAGCAGGAGGGGGGAGGAGGTAGAGTTCAGCTGGGGGAGAGGAGGAGGACAGAAGAACTGTCAATATCAACTGGTCAAGTTATTGATAAACTGATTATTAACTGATGTCTCATCATTTCTCTCAGTTCAATGGTAGAAAATGAAACACGTTTGTTTTGTCCTGATCCAGTCTCTGATCAGTGAGAACAAAGGTTATAAAACATGTTCCTTTGAATCTGTTGAAACCTCCCGTTCACCTGTGCTCATCATCAACATCATCAAGGTGTCCACTGTGGATGGGAGGAGTCACCGGATCTCACAGGAAAGTAAATGTGCGAATCATCAGCGTAGAATCGAATATTCTGTCTTTTACCTTTACAACAGTAAGTTTTAGATTTTTTCTTCCTGTTTCATGTAATTTAAGTTTTATTGAACCAACACATCATGTTTATTTAACAACAAACAAAATTTAAAACATCAAATCACTGTTTTAAGGAGGGTCATGTGTCTGACTGTTTCCTGGAAGCTGCTTTTAGACCCTGGCTAGCAGTTTCCCTTGTTTCCAGTCTTGATGCTAAGCTAAGCTAAGAGTATCTAAGAGTACCTTAGAATATTTCACTTAATGTGGGACTTGTCTGACCTTGAGGTCGTACGAAGAGTGTGGCCTTCTGGGAGTTTGTCTGGAGGAGGACAGCAGGTCCGGCAGGTGATTCACAGCTGGTTTCAGTCTCAGGTGTGTTCTGCTGTCGGTCTCCACAGTCTGCAGGTTGTAGTGACAGGAAGCCGGCCTCTGTCTTAGCCCCGCCCCCTCACTGCGGGCGTACCGTCCACCTATCTCACCTGTCCCACCTGTCCTCTGAGGTGTACCAAGTGTGGGGGGCGTGGCTTCAGACCCCACCTGGCGGTGGGACTTGGCTCTCTGCAGAGCTCCGTTCAGTTTGGGGCTGCCGATCTCCCTGCGGACCTGTTGGATCCGGTCCTGCCAGTAGGTGGACCTCCCGTCGCTCTTCCCATGGTCTCCACGACGACTGAGCTCCTCGTACTGGTACGTCTCGTCCTCCACCATTTCTCCCAGTCGGCCCAGTGACCGGGCCCGTTTCCGTGCCGACGGGCTGCTGCGCCGCAGAGAATTGGAGCTGGACACGGAGAGATGGCTCATCTCAGAGATCACATGACTGATGTAGTCGCCGTGACCGATGAAGCTGCCGCGGACAATCGTCTGTAGGAGGAGGTTAAATATTCAGTCAGATAGAAAAATGTGATCAATAATATGATGATCAATACGTGAAGATTAGAGAGAGTTGGATTTCAGAATGAAATCATTCATTTTAGTTAAATTGTTTTTTCTAAATTTCTAAAAAATCTTTTGAAACTTTTTGAGTTTGAATTAAAATTCAAAAAGTTCAAATGAACAAATTTCATGGTTAAATTCTGATTTCAAACATGAAATGGTTTCAGTTGTAAAATGAAATCGACAGATGAAAAATGAATCACTTCATTGTTTATATTTTCATTGTAACTGGAATTAATTCTTAGTTCATTAACACTTTAATTAGTTAATTTATTAATTCTACACATTTAATGTTTCTGTTAAGTCACGTGACTCTACTGTCATGAGGTCACTGTGATGAATCATCCAATAATAATCCAGTGTAAATGTGAGGACACACACCTGTGTGATGGTACGTGTCTGTGAGGAGGTCACCTGAGGTCACATGATCAGACAGAACACATCTGACAGGACCAGCATGGAAACAGCGGCTCAGGTTTCAGGCTCAAACATGGCATTTACAGTGAACCAGTGAATGCACCGTCAGCAGCTTCACTACAGTTAACCAATGACGACTCAGCACAGGTGAGAGGTCAGAGGTCACTATTGTTGTGATTCAGAGTTGCCGTTTAATGAAGTCAGAACAACCCTGATGAAGCCTGTACACCATACACCTGTGTATAGATAACCCCACCCCTGACCTTCCTGGGTCCAAGCTCGACCTCAGTGATCCTGGAGGGATCCACCAAGGGGCGTGGCCTCCTCAGCGTGTCGATGACGCTCTGCCACTGCAGCGGCAGACCCACGTAGTGTCCCGTGACGGCATTGAACGACGTGTGGACGCGGTGCTGGAAGTCTTGTGGCGCCGAGATCTTAGGCCTTCGCCTTTTCTTCCTGCGACGGAACATCGCCACAGCAACACAGCAATGGCAGCTCCAATCACACACACACACACATCAAAGTACACACTGAACACACACACACACACACACACACACACACACACACACACACACACAGAGGGTGTCAGTAAAGAGAGCAGAGTCACATGACCTCCTCCTCCCTCCTGTCAAACTGCCCAGATGAGAACTCACCTGTCAGTGATGCATTAAACCTTCTCACCTCTGGGGGGCAGAGTGACAAACACAGACACCTCCAGACTGACTCAGGTCTCAGACCAGTGTTACCATGGTAACAATCAGTGACACCTGCACCGGCCAGCAGCACCAACAAGAAACAGGAAAACATGGCTGATAATTTTGTTTCACTCTTCAAAGTAAAACTTCCTGTAACTGTTGAATTCTTCCTAAAGACAAACATGTGCTGCTGAAGGTGAACGGAGCTCAGTGATTGGATGTGGTTCCTTGGTCAGCCATTTTTTTTAGACTCAGTCTGTCTGTTAAAGTGTCTGCGACCAGGTCCTGGTCTTATTCACTCTGCATGAACCAGTGGCTTATGGGTAAAATCTTCAGACTCATGTATCTGCAGCCTGAACACTCTGATGTCATCACCATTAAATATCATTCATTTTATAACAAGCTTTTGTGAAGATGAAAATGATGAAGATGAAGAACAGCAGGAGTCAAAACTGATTCAGCTCAAAGTCAAACTGAGAAATTAGATCAGACTCATCAGCCAATCGTATGAGTCCTCAGCTCATCATCATCATCAGGTTAAAAACAGGACCTGAAAATCCATCAGGATTTCAAAGTAAAAGCCTGAGGTTCCAACAGAGAAGTTCAGGTTCAAACTGCTGCAGGTTGTTTGACGACATGAATCTGATCATGTGATCGACATGTGACGGGTCATTTCTTCTTCATGGGTTCATTTAAATGATCAATTCTGAATTTTCAATGTTTCTTTTATCTGTTAAAAGAAAACTGTGTGTTTTTAAAATCAGATTTATTTCAGTTGTATTTTAGAGCTAATCTCTCTCTCTCTCTCTCACCTGTGTGTGAGTCGGTGTCTCTCCACCTCAGGTAGAAGAAGTCCTGCCTGCTTCAGATCAGTCTGGTTCGTCCTGGAAACAGACAGAGACGATGAAGCAGAGTCTCCTCCTCCTGTTTGTCAAGTGGGAGCGGTGGAGGATGTGGAGGAGGAGGAGGAGGGAGGAGGGAGGAGGGGGGAGTCAGCTGATCAGACTTAGTGTGAGTGCGCACACACAGAAAACACACGTCAGTTCCCACATGTGAACCAGTCTTTCTACAGAGCTGAGGTCAGAGGTCAGAGGTCACTGTGAGGATGAAACTGAGGTGTGAAGGTGAAAGTGAGTCAGACTGGAGCAGGGACAGGGTCTAAGAGGACAGGGTCTGAGGTCTGAGAGGACAGGGTCTGAGGAGACAGGGTCTGAGGTCTGAGAGGACAGGGTCTAAGAGGACAGGGTCTGAGGTCTGAGGAGACAGGGTCTGAGGTCTAAGAGGACAGGGTCTAAGAGGACAGGGTCTGAGGTCTGAGGAGACAGGGTCTGAGGTCTAAGAGGACAGGGTCTGAGGAGACAGGGTCTGAGGTCTGAGGAGACAGGGTCTAAGAGGACAGGGTCTGAGGAGACAGGGTCTGAGAGGACAGGGTCTGAGGAGACAGGGTCTGAGGTCTAAGAGGGCAGGGTCTGAGGTGGACCTGGACCAGGTTAGGAGTTTGTTGGACTCACCTGTCTGTCTGTGAGGAGCAGGTGTCTCGGCCAATCAGTGAGCAGCAAGTCAAAGTCCTGAAAGATAAGAAGGAGGAGATCAGTCTGATGTGGACTCAGGTTCTGGTTTCTGACCCAGTCTCTGTCTCTGTCTCCAGTGTCTTCACAGTCACATGATCTGATTTAAATCATGTAAATGTGATTCACATATTAATCCTCATTAAAGAACAGTCAGTTCTGAAGTGATCTGATTGGACGAGTCATTCCATGAAGCTGCTACACTTTCAACTCCATGTATCACTCCTCTTCACAGCTCATCTATTAACCGTTAATCAGCGTCACATTAACGTCGTTATCGATCTCAGATTGTAACAAAGATGAAAATATATAAATATATCTGTTCATCAGGAGAGGATGAAGGAAGAAGGTGGATCCTTCAGAGACACCTGAGGGAACGAGGAGACGAGGTAGCAGCTAGTGTCACTGTGCAGGTCAGGAACATGTTTATGTGTTGCTTAGCAACAGTCCAGTACCGGTCCAGGATCTATTTGTGTTGGTGTAGACAAATCAATGATGAAATAAACAAACTAATCATAATCTGTTGTTGCTTATTGAACTAAGATGGTGCTGGTAGAACTGTGTATAAAGAAACGTCACACTGAGGGAGAGAGTGTGTGTGTGTGTGTGTGTGTGTGTGTGTGTGTGTGTGTGTGTATGATCAGGGTGTGACTGACATACCTGAGGAATCAAACCAACACCCTACATGACCAGACAGCTCCAGTCTGAGTCGTCCGACAGGAAACAGACTGACTCACAGCCTGGACCCACCTCTCAGGCTGCTGGTCCAGACCTGGTCCCTGCTGGTCCACTTCACAGCAGCCGAGACCTGGTCCCTGCTGCACCGCAGTCCTGTAGACCAGGAGACCAGAGGACAACACGTTCAGGTGTGTCCAGGTGTGTTAAGGGCCTTCACTCTGAGCTGGAGTCCAACACCAGAACTATCAAACTATTAAGTGGTCTGATGCAGTTCTGGTCCATGACCCCGTTCCATCAGGGACCAGGTCCTGTTCCACCAATGAGGTTTAACTAATCCAGACTAAAAAGCAATTCAGGCTAACATGATCCTGTTAACTCTGACTGAACTGCTCTTATTTTGAAATAAAGACAGAACCAGCAGAGTGTTGAGACCACAATCAGCTGCAGTTTGATTGGCTGAGTGCTGATCATGTGACTGCAGGTACATGAGGTAAGTGTGTTTGGAACCATCCCAGCATGCACTGCGGCAATAGATTCACGGATCTACGCATAATGAGCACTTTATTAGGAACACCTGTACACCTGCTTAGTCACATCATCATCCAATCGGCCAATCAGAAGCAGGAGCTTCAGGTAATGAGGCACTCTGAGCTCAACTCCTGTATTCCTACGCACAAGCGCACTGTATCACGCCGCTTCCTGATTCAGTCAGCTGACCTACAGTGTAATACAGTGCGCTTGTGCGTAGAATACAATAGTTCCGCAGTTGAAAAATTTAGTTTTCACAGGGAGATAAAGATGAAAATCCTCTACATGAAGCTTAATTTAAACAGATGTTGGATTGTTTCAGGGGCGTCTTTAAAAGTGGCCCCGCCCACAGCAGCTCATCACTCTGACGCTCTGCTGGAGCCCCGGTCGGATCTCCTAACTGAGAGCGCACTCACCAGAACCTACTGCAGGTAATGTACCAGCTATATATGATGACCTCACACACCCCCACGTCAAAAAAACAGAACTGTCCCTTTAAGATGTTTGAACCCTAACCTGGAGAACCCAATAATCCACATGAGGAACCGGATCTTGGACACAGTTCTGGGTTCTGGGAAGAACCAGCTTTGAAGAACCAGGCTGGAGAGAGGCTTTAAGGTTCTGGAAGGTGACGAGCAGAGAGAGGTTCTCCTCAGCAGAAGGCTGAGGCAAAGAAAACAGCTGCATCCACACTAACACACCTGAAAACACACACACCTAAGCAGACAGCTACACTGAGCATGTGCGAGCCGCTGTAAACAGGAAGTAGATTGTCTCCTCTGCTCATCATGTTGTATTCACCACCGGTAGTCCAGGCTGATGAGAGCCAATCAGGAGAGACCGTGGGTGTGACCTCATCGTTTACAAAGGTCTCAGTTTCTGTCCAGACTACATCACAACGCCAGAGTTTTCAAAATAAAACACAACCCAGAGTTTTCAAAATAGAAGGTCCAGCAGAGTTTCTCTGTTTTCAGGGCTCAGAGTTGTGGGGGCGGAGCTTCATAATGATCAACACACAAGAACAATAAACAGTTTAACAGCAAATAATCACAGAAAGACTCTGAGACACTGAGACTCACTTCACTGTCGCTCAACAGCTACAAACAGGAAACACGTCTGACCTCAGATCAGTTACACTTTCACACCAAACCCTCCATTCATAAAGATCAGCTTACTGCCCCCCCCCCCACACACACACACACACACACACACAGATGTGGTAAACACTTCACAAGACACTGTGAATAAGAACACACACTCTGAACAACAATGGTTCTTTAAGAAACCAAAATAAGGTTCTTCCAGTGCAGTTTGAACAGAACACTCAGTCAGGTTCTTTAAAGTGGTAAAAAGTAATCTCCGTGCACATGGTTGTCCCTGTAAAACCACAGACCACCAGGTCCATCAAGGTTCTATATGGAACAAGTTAAACCTAGTGTTGTTTAGAAAACTTTAAATCTTTAAAACAATCCTGAAGAACCATTCCTGCTGCTCTAGAACCCTTGGTATGTAACTACTTCATTTAAAAGAATCCTCCTTTGCCTAGGTAATCCTAAATAAAGGTTCTACAGCATGGTTCTACAAAGAACCGTTTTCACAGATTTCTTTACATCCAGAGCAAGTTATGTCACTGTCAGTGAGGTCCAATGTTCTGTGTTCTTAAAATTAGGTAAGAACATAACTGGGTTATGAAAATTGTTCTGTTATAGTTCAAGCCCTAAGAACCATTTTCTGATACAGGGTAGAACTTTTTTTTAGAGGAATGAACTTTTACTTTGTCAGATTTCATTCAATTGTTCTTAAAAAAAACTCCACAATGGTTCTCAATAGAACCTTATCAACCTGGTGCTTAAGGTTTTAATGAGGTTCTATAAAGGAGGGAAAACAATTCAACTAGTATCCAACCCTGAAAAACTCTGGTGCTCGGAAAGAACCTTTTTTTTTTTTTTTTAACTAAGAGCACCTATCAAAGATGTTCTATATTCAACATGGGTTCTCTCATCCTGTGTCTTTACAGAACCTAACTGGAATTTATGCTGTAGCTCAAGTCTGAAGAACCACTTTATTAAGAACAGTCTGTTGAATCTGATGTTCTTTTGCTGTTCCATAAGGGTTCTACAGCCTGGTAATGTAGAAAACCTCCATCACAGGGTTGTTTTCTATGGACACCGTTATCTAGAACACGTTACATAAGTTCTCTGTGGTGAAGTGGAGACAGTAAACGGGTTCTAACAGAGTTCTGGTACAGAACATTTCAAATGAAAACTGGTGATACTCTTTCTAAACGGTTCTTCACAGCTCGCTGGAGGTTTTACGTGGAACCATGGACCTGGTTCTGCTGAGAACTGAAGTTAGTTAACGCATAACTGTATAGAACCATTACAGGTTGGCCTCAGCATGTAGAAAAATATAGACGCACTCACTTGTCCGGCAGAGTCCACGTGAGTCCAGGTGAGTTTGTTCTGGCCGGTTACTGCTGTCGTTCTCAGACAGTGACTCTCTGTCTCTGCCGTTCTTTCTCCTCCCCGTCTCTCTCCCTCCCCCACCTCACTCGTCCCTGTCTCACCTTGTCTCAGGTATGAAGGGAAAGAGGAGGAGCGGGCGGAGTTTAGTTTGACTGACAGATTTGTTGCTTCTGTCTCTAAATTCAAATTCAAATGAACTTTATTGAGACGAGCGCAGCTCCGATCAGCGACCAGAGGACAGAATGAGGGTCCCGCCTCCTCAGGTCAGATCACAGGAGTAAAACAAACCAGATCGATACGATTGGATGTTCATGTTGATCCTGAAGTGATTGACAGGTCTGTTGATACAGCAGCTGACAGACAGACTGATGTCATACTGAGGAACATTAAGGACTTTATTGTATGTTAAAGTGTGAAGTCACCTGGAAACATGTTGAAAATATCAGCCCCCACACACACACACAGGTGATGAAACAAAGACAGTTTCCCTCTCTCTCTGCAGGCTGCAGCATGCCTTGCTCTCCCCTCAGGCGGAGGAAGGAGGTGACTCAACAAACAGCCCGACTCCTCTCACTTCAGTTTAAACTTCACAGAAACTAAATTCATTCAATCCCAGTTAAATAAAACAGGAAACATGACAAACATTAGAGGGACTCAGTTTAAAGTAAACCTTCGTGTTTCCTGTCAACTTGTTGCTATGGGAACAAGCTGCAAGTCACCAGGACAACACCTGAGTTTCTGCAGGTTCACCAGGTTAGTTAACACGTTTTCAGAGAAAGCAGAAACTACACACACACACACATGTACATACATACATACATACACAGTTCAAAGCTTCAGTTAAAGTTCATTGTTTATGTTCAGATTTTTACTTCATGTCCATTTTTCTTTTAGATTTTCCAGCTTCTGGTTTCATGATGATTTGGTTGTTTTAACACATATACTTTATTTCTCCTGATCTTATTTTTGGGTGAAATTAAAACAACAAAATACTATAAAACAACTTTTTTATTTAGTTAGACATGAAACACAGATATAGATATAACAGATATAAACACAGATATAAAGATCAACAGCAGACACAATGAACAGCTGATATTTCAGTGGTGAAGTGTTGACAGCTGCTCCTTCAGCTCCGACAGGACGGACAATGAGGAGCGACCGCCGGCGTTCAGCAGTGAGCGGAAAAACATCCTCCACATCCTGGAGAACATGTCGCTGCAGAGAGGAAGGTTTCATACATAAACATCGCAACAAACCAGGTTTAACACCTGTGATAAACCGGGTTCAACACCTGAAATAAACCGGATTCAACACCTCTAATAACGCGGGTTCAGCACCTCTAATAAACCGGGTTCAACAGGTTTAACATCTGTGATAAACCAGGTTCAGCACCTCTAATAAACCGGGTTTAACACCTGTAATAAACCAGGTTTAACACCTCTAATAAACCGGGTTCAACACCTGAAATAAACCGGATTCAACACCTCTAATAACGCGGGTTCAGCACCTGTAATAAACCGGGTTTAACAGGTTCAACACCTGATATAAACCAGGTTTAACACCTGTAATAGACCAGGTTTAATACCTGTAATAAACCAGGTTTAACAGGTTCAACACCTGATATAAACCAGGTTTAGCACCTGAAATAAACCAGGTTCAACACCTGTAATAAACCGGGTTTAAGTGTGAGTACCAGGTATCGTCTCCACTGAACCGCTCTACCATCCAGCCGCCGTCGTCTTTCACCAGGACCATCCTGCTGTTGGTCAGGAGGAGGTGGACAGTTTCAGCCAGACCCACTAGGTCCACCTGACAGGTAGGGAGAGGGGGATGAGTTAGTGAATGAGGCAGGGCGTGTACAGAGTGGACAGGTGTGTTGGAGGCGGTACCAGCTGTGGGGGGGCGGTCGGCTCCAGGAGACCCATACTGATGTAAGTGTGAGCTGAGGGCAGCTGCTGGACCGACGTGACGTCCTGGAGGTCCAGGTCCACAGAGGAAGACCAGTCCACCGGGAAGACCCAGTCAGGACACATCAGACCTCTGGACCAACCACAAGTGAACCACAGTGAATCAGCCTCAGAGTCACATGCTACCACCCCCCACCCCCCACCCCAACCCCCCCCAGGTGCTGACCTACCTGTGAGAACAGGTGAGGAGTCTCGGCTGCAGCGCTGCATGGAGCACTCTGCAGGAGTGAAGCTGAGACACCAGCTGCAGCAGAACAACAGCTGTATGACACACTGAGTCATCACTGGATACACACTCTGTGAGCTCCTGAGAGAGAGAGGGGGGGGGGG